ACAAGCAAATCTGGCCAGTGAAGACTCCAAACTTGCAGTTTATGTAAACTACAGGGCCATAATGCCAGGGCTCGCCCATATGCGACAGTTTGCGCACGATGTGGAAGTTTAGATCATGATGTTGTGGAATGCCCATTTTCTCATCCACCTGCTGACAGGACCGCTATTGATAAACTTTACGATCCATATGGAATTCGTGGTGTGCCTAATATCAATTCTGATGATTCTGATGATGCGTAGTGATGATTTTCCTTAAGATGCGTAGTGATGATTCTGTTAGTGTTTGTATTTGTGTGTTGTTTTGAACATTCATGTAATAAATCTCAGAGGATGATTCTGTTTGCGTTTGTATTTGTGTTAGTGTGTTAGTTTGGATGTTTGTGTGATAAACTCTAATTTTGCGTTTATCAATAGAATCCTAAAACAGCAAAAACTGGAAATTTTGCGTTTTAGAATTCGTGTATATTGTATATCACTCCCAAGATTCAGCCACGTGTCCAAATTCTGGTGAGTCACACTATTCGCATTTCAAAAATGCGAAAGTTTGGCCGGTTTAAATATATTTCGCCGTTTCTAAAACGCGTAATGTTTCTACCTTATATAGTATTCGCATTTCTCAAACACGAATTTGTGTTTATGCAAGAGTCCAGGACTTGGACTCCAGTATAATTAACTTTAAACACCAACCATTTTCAATTTATATTAGTAATATTTTTTTTAAAAAAAATGTCGGTATTCGTCATTATGTATTAAAAATGTAGTACTAATTATTACTATATACATGTCGTATAAAGCACTAATTTTCTTAGGACGGAGTGAGCACTAATTATCTTAGGACTTTCCGATCCACATGGAATTCGTAGTGATGATTCGGTTAGTGTTTGTATTTGGGTGTTGTTTTGAACATTCATGTAAAAGCACTAATGAGGATGACTATGTTTGCGTTTGTATTTGTGTTAGTGTGTTGGTTTGGATGTTTGTGTGATAAACGCTAAAGGATCATTCACTTTGTGTGAGTTGTTACGGTTTAGGGTTTAGGGTTAGGGTAACAAAATTAGTTATTTGTTTATTCATTTTATGATAAACAAAGTTGGCTTAATTCTCATAAACGCTAAATTAGTTGGCTAAACAAAATTAGTTGTCAAAATTACCAAATTACCCCTAATAGGTAAGAGTCCAGGACTTGGACTCCAGTATAATGGACTGGATATTTATGTCTTTTCGGTCAGTCGATCGATTTTTGTGAATTAACCCACAAACTATACGCGTTTCGGAAACGCGAATTAAATCACGTTTAAATATATTTTGCGTTTCTGAAACGCGAAAACATAATATGTTAAGGAAATTTCGCGTTTCAGAAACGCGAATTTGTGGTACTTAAAACGTTTTCGCGTTTCTGAAAAGCGAGTTCTTGTGGGTTAAATCACAGTTTTCGCGTTTCACTTATTTGGTTTCTTTCTATTCCGGTGGCCGGCGGACTCCATAAAAACCGGCGAATTTGAATAATCGTTGCCGGAAGCGAGTTTCGGCGTCAATTTTTTTGCATTTTGTGGGCTATATATCGAGGTAAGTTGTTATTTTGCTCTCATTTAATCGTTTTTTTTTGTGTTGGTTTTTTTTTTTTTTTTTGATTTTTAATTTCGAATCCTAAAAATTTTGTGTTAGTTTTTTTTTTTATTTTAATTCGCGATTTAATACTTCGTTAATAGATCTAGTATTACAGGTGGTGTAGTTGTGGATTTTTTTTTTCAAATTCGGGACTGTGGGTTATGACGGGAATTGCCGGCGGGGGAGTCGGGGTTCTGGGTTTAGAGGGGGGTTGCCGGCAGGGGAGTCGGGGGACTTGCAGGGGGTTAGAGGGGGGTAGGCGGCGGGGTGGGCTTAGGGTTGTGGGGTTTTGGGTTTGGGGGGTTGGGTTGGGTTTAGAAGTGGGTTTGGGTGTAGAGGGGTGGGTATTGGGTTGGGTTTAGGGGGTTGGTTATTGGGTTGAGTTTAGAGGGTTGGGTATTGGGTATAGAGGGGTGGGTTTAGAGGGTTGGGTTTAGAAGGTTGGGTATTGGGTTGGAATTTTTAAATATATATAGATAATTATATTAAGAAATAGAATAATAAATATTGATAAATATTAATCCGTATTTACTAAAATTTAGGGTCGGTTTTTTAATATATAGGATAATAAATATTAATCTGTACTTACTAAAGTTTAGGGTCTTTTTTTTAATATATAGGATAATAAATATTGATAAAGATTTAATCCATACTTACTAAAATTTAGGGTCGGTTTTTTTAATATATAGGATAATAAATATTGATAAATATTAATCCATACTTACTAAAATTTAGGGTCGACTTTTTTAATATATAAGATAATAAATATTGATAAATATTAATCCATACTCACTAAAATTTAGGGTCGGTTTTTTTAATATATAGGATAATAAATATTGATAAATACTAATCCATACTTACTAAAATTTAGGGTCGTTTTTTTAATATATAGGATAATAAATATTAATAAAGCTTTAATCCGTACTTACTAAAATTTAGGGTCGGTTTTTTCAATATATAGGATAATAAATACTGATAAATATTAATCCATACTTACTAAAATTTAGGGTCGGTTTTTTTAATATATAGGATAATAACTATTGATAAATATTAATCCATACTTACTAAAATTTAGGGTCGGTTTTTTAATATATAGGATAATAAATATTGGTAAATATTAATCCATACTTACTAAAATTTAGGGTCGGATTTTTTAAAATATAAGATAATTGACCTTGATAAATATTAATCCATACTTACTAAAATTGTTTGTAAATTGTTATGGCCATGGACATTGGATCATCTTCTTCCTCCCAATCTACCTCAAAGAAGCTACGGCAGGGACCTAGAGACAATAGTTTGTTGTTCCTCCAAAACGCCCACAGGTCACATAATATATTCCATGGTTCACAGTATGATATAGGAATTTCGGAGCCTAGGCGCGTAGATAGCGCATCATGGAAATATATAAAAGATGCACCGACGATGACAAAGGAATACATTGAGAAATTTGGTTTTGGACCGTTTTCTAGAGTTGGGTCCATAAGATATGACCATGCCCTGCTTACAGCTCTTGTGGAGCGATGGCGCCCAGAGACTCATACTTTTCATTTACCTTTTGGGGAGGCTACTATCACACTGCAGGACGTTGAGGTTCTTTTGGGGCTTCGGGTTGATGGACGTCCGGTTACAGGACATCACACAACGCCTGAAGGTGGTTGGGCTGCCTATTTGGAGAGGATGTTTGGATTTAGGTTCCAGACAGAGGAGTCCAGATTGACGAGCGTTTCCATCATTGAAATAAAGACTCACATAGAGAATAATCCTTTGACGGACCAGTCCCTCGACGAGGCACACCTACAGCGAGCCCGTTGTTTTGTTGGATGGCTAGTTGGCAAATTACTGTTCTCTAACACTACGAGAAATAGTTTTCCACTCGATCTTGTGCATTTTCTACATACTCCCGAGATTTGCTCGGAGTACAGTTGGGGTAGCGCAGCACTATGTTACTTGTACCGCAACATGTCCAAGTCATCTCTGGCCACTTCCGCAAAGGCTATTACCGGTTGTGTGATTCTTCTTCAGGTATTTTATCTTTTCATTTCTCTCTCTTTTCATTTTATATTCTCCCATAATTATTTGTGATATTGACTAATGATCCCTAAATTCTAAATTAGCTCTGGGCCTGGGAGCGGATTTTGACGGTTCAGCCAAAGATACTAGGTGGGGAGCTCGATCTTTCTCATTGTCCATTGGGCACGAGGTAATCTTATACATCAAACCTCCGAACATTTTGAGTTTGTGATTTGTACTGTCATGTCTCAATTTAATGTTAGTTTTTCCGTGCAGGTGGTTCCGTGAGAAAAAAGTTCAAGGTATCACGTGGTTCAATTTGGCTGCCTACCGGGATCAGCTTGCAGTTCTCGCAGAGTCAGATGTTAGTATTCATTTCCATTACTGTAACATATTCTTTATTGGATTATTTTAATGGTGCCGGACTTTTAATTATGCGTCTCGTACTATATTACCACTGCAATTTGTATGGATGCCGTACACGACTCTTCTGGGTCGTATTGCCAGGGTTTGTCTTGTGGGACAGGGCATCTGGCGATCTCAGACATGGCTCATCTGCGGTGATGTCGTTGCGCCACATAACCCCAGTAGGGTATTTTGCCAATTTGGTTATCACTAGCGGATACCCGGCAACGCATTGCTTCTGACGCGGGGGAAATTACTAGCCTGCTCAAGAGAAAGCCGTTTGGAGGATCCGATAGAAGATGGATACAACAACTAGGGATATATCTCCAGGTTTGGAATGATCGTCACGGCAGACTTGTCTGGACTGATGATTATTATGTTGGCGAGCCTACAGTAGATCCGGAGTATCTCTTGTGGTACCATCAGGTTACTGTAAAGTATGTTACGGATCCGACAGACTCTGAAAATGCGAGGGGTTTTCACGGCTCTGCAGAGACCTTGCGCCTCATGGTGAGTCTTTCGTACAATTTCTTTCGCATATAGTCCATTATGTAATTTATTTTCATTGTTATCGATTTACGATTCTTTCTAACAAAAATTTCAGGCCACTTTGATGGAGGACGTTCATAGTCTGAGTATTATAGGCCAGCGTACTTTCGACAAGGATTCCTTTGGTTATGATCGCTTAGGCGAGATTGCCCAGGTTGCTGAGCAGGCGTTGTCCGTCAATGCAACAAATGTTGTACATCACGATCTCGAGAGGCAGGTTGAGGTTAATGACATTTTGAGTCAAGAACTTGTACCTGTAGACCCGACCCAGCAATATCAACCTCCTAGACCTCTGAGGCGTTCGCGCAGGTCTCAGCGTGGGCGTGGGGGCCAAGAGACAATTACTCCCACTCAACCACATCAGTCCTCCCAGCATCAGCAGTCTCATATCCCATTCACTGACGGTTCATCCCATCAGTCTCCACTTATGTCTCCACACCATTCTTCTCAGCATTCATCCCATTAGTCTCTACATTCTCCACATCATTCATCCCATCAGTCTCCACATTCTCTACATCATTCATCCCATCAGTCTCCACATCAGTCTCCCCATCATTCTTCGCCGACCCAACAGGCGTTTTACCGTCCCCATTATGTCTCCCCAGCACCAGCAGTCCTATTTTGCCTTCACTTAGTTTTCCTCCCGTCAGACTTCTCAGCCTCAGTTTGGAGATTCTTTTATTGACTTTTCTGGGTTCCAGCAAAGTTCTCTAGATGACCAGTCAATACATTACACGAGTAACTTTCTTTCGAGTATGTTCGAGGGTGTTGCGGGTCAGCATCAGGCTGATGACCCAGCTGGAGGTGAGCGTGAGAGTCAGGGTGAAGATGAGGATGAGGATGAGGCTGAGGATGCAGACCAGTAGGATCAATTTGAGGGTCAGGGTTATCAGCGCTATGAGGAGCAGGGATCGAGTCAGACTCTAGGAACTCCACCGTTGGCTGTGAGTAAAGGCCAGAAAGTGACAAAGGAGCCCGATAGATTGACTTATAGCCATTTTCGGGGTAAAAAGCCCAAGAAGAAGTAGGCTACTAGACTTTTTATGTAGTATTATTAGACTTGTATTTTTTTTTTCCTTTGTTCATTTATGTTTTTTTTTTTCCTTTTGTTATGACTTGTTTTTTTTTCCTTTTGTTATGACTTGTAGTATTTTGTTATGACTTGTATTAATATTCTTAATAGTTTGATTTTACCTGCATCGTTGCTACTTTATTAATATTTATCAAACACATATTCGCCGATCAAATCTAAACACATCTTCAACTTTCTCATATTTTTTTAATAATTAATAGTTGCTTCATCTTTTTTTTTTTTTTAAAACAAACAGCAAAGTATTTAGTTTATCCAAACAAAAGATGTAACTCTTAGCTCTTAAAATACCAACCGTATATTAAAATTACCACATCCACAAAAAGATAGTACCAGATACTTAAAACAAACATTCAGTAAACTATAGTTCTCTTCAAAATTAAGATGAGTTGCATTAAACAATCACATTGGCAGCACTTGCAATCCTAGGCCAAAGATCATCACACTCCTTTCCAATGGGACCACTGATTGCAGAACCTTTCATTTTTCCCTTGGGATTAACAATCACTCCAGCATTATCTTCAAAGTACATGTAGACACCGTCCTTTCGGCGCCATGGCTTGCACTGGCGGACAATGACTGTGGGGAAGACCTTCTTCCTGAGATCGGACTTACCCTTCTTGACGGTGGCCATAACCATGTCACCGGTGCAAGCAGAAGGGAGACGGTTGAGCCTACCCGTCATCCTTTCACTGAAATGATGTAGAGGTTCTTTACCCTGGTGTTGTCGACACAATTCACCGTCGCAGCCACTGGAAGACCCAGAGACATCCTGAACTTGTTACCCACCGATCCTCCGCGTCCTCGGTTCGACATTTTTGCTGTCTCCCCTGTGAGGTTTCCGAAAAAGAGAAAATAGTTGCTTCATCTTAAGCGTTGGTAAATTATAATCAATATTTAATAAAATTTATTCATATTTTAAGCTTTTTTCTTATATTGAAACCGTCATAATTAATAAAAAAAATTTGTAAATTAAATTACATCTAATTAATATAAATCCATAAAATTACGTCATTTATTATTATTGAAAATTTTTCATATAAAATTATTTTATAAAATAATGATTAAATTTTTAATATAATTTTTGTAAAATTTAATCTAATTTTTTAATATAATCATTATTAAACTTTTGATATAATTTTTTAAAAATTTAATACATTATAATAATTATTTCATACTTTTAATAATTTATATTTAGTATAGCTCTATTTAATTTAATGAGTATCAATTATAATATTATATTCTTATTCAAAATTTAATTTTTCAATTATTAAAATTATCAATATAATTTTCCTCTTTATAGCTCTGTTCAAAATTTAATGATTATCAATAATAATTTTAAAATTTTCCTTTAATTTCATTATTAAAATTTAATAATTTTTTGAAGTAAATTTCCCTAGAAATTTTTAAACTAGGCAAATTAATCAAATTTTTATGACTATTTCCTTTTTTTATTTAAATAAAATATTCGTTTTTATTTTTTTTGCACTTTAAAAACGCGAATTTGTATTTAATCAATTTTTTTACCATTAATTAATTATGATTAAGTTAAATTAATTACGATTTCTTATTTTTAGAGTTTCTGAAACGCAAAAATTGATTTTTTGCATTTTCAAAACGCGAAAATTGTTTTTTAGCATTTTCAAAACGCGATTTTGCTTATTTTCGCTTGTTTGAATCGCGAAAGAATTAGTTTTGGCGACAGTCGAAACCCTACGTCTATTTTGTTCTTTTTTTCAGATATAAATAAGTAAATTTGCCTCAAAAGCCCATAAACCAGAATCACTCACCCTAAGCTCTCAAACGATTTATCCCTTGCCTACAATCCTCGCCGCTGTCGTCGGCCATCGTTTGCTAAATATTATTAGTTCCGGCCGCTCCAGTTCGATATTAACGGCATAAGAACACTTTTCTGCCTTTTCAAAACTAAATCTGGATTTGTTTCTCCCTTCGGGCTTCGAATCTGCCGCCTCATTCTAAGGTGCTACCACCGACGATTAAACCATCTAATTGATTTTCCCAAATTTCAGATCTAGAAGAGTGCTTACTTGTTGCTCCAAAGGTTCGAGATCCCTTTTTAGTTCGATGACTTCCATCACTGCTTGTCTTCTCAACTTTCGATTATCGGTGTTTCCGTCGGCTCAACCGTATTCTTCTTTCCCTCAGTCATGTGACGCGCACACTTTTGTCAGGTCAATCCAGTTTTAACTTACATGTTCCTCCAATTTTTGACGGTGGAAAGAGACGCCCCCGATCGAAGGGGAAGAGGCCCGCCGTTGTGATAATGGGAATTTAGGTTAATGAGATTTGGGTTTAGAAACTTGGAGAAGCTGGAGCGAGAGAGGAAATAAGAATTGTGGAAGGAATTGACCCCAAAAACAGAAGTGGGGACGGGGGAATTTTTGTAAAAGCGCCATTTTCACACATTAATCTATAGTATAATAATAAAGATAAAAATCTGGGTGAATAAAAAAATTTCTAAAATATGATTGATCGGATGATTTATTTCTCAAATATGATTAGCTAAACATGCTAGACAGTCTTTTTCTAAAATCAGGGATATTTTCGTAATAAGCTCTTCTTCTGTAGTCCCCTACATAAAACGACACCGTTTAGACCATCCCTTCTATTTTAACTTCTACGGCATCAATAATTTCCTTACAACCCTAAAACTTTCCTCAACGGCATCAACCCCTTCTGTCCATGGCCGAATTACTTCCGATGCCAACTCTAAAGGGGCAGCCCTATTTCGTACCTTTGAGCGAGTTAACTAAAAACTAGCCAATCCGCAATTATCGGTGCTGACTGCTGAGTTCATTCACGGTGGTCTTCAAAGTTGGCTGCCGATGAAGGTTAGAGATTTCGAGTCCGAAGATTTCGATAAGGTAAAGGAATTGGATGTATTCTCTGATCTGTATAGGGATTAGGAATTTTTTCCTTCTTTTTCTAATATTCCTAATCTGGTAGATTTTCTCCTATAACAATTTGGGATATATATATATGTGTGTATATATATATATATATATAAACTGTATAAATGATCCCCTACATTTGTCCGAATTTAAATTTTGGTCCCCTACATCAACATATATATGGATTGAGCCTTTACATTTCATTTTGAAAATTTTTTTCATCCCTTTTCACTGTTTCGTCACCATTTCCGTCTTGATGACCGTTGACCCTACCAAGTCAGGGGTATTTTCGAAATGACACATATTAGATCAAAATAACAAATGTTTTTATTATAAAATAGAATAAAATATTAAAAATTATTATTTTATAATAAAAAATTAAATAATGTAAAAATAAAAAAAATTAAAATGATATCAAATTTCAAATTTTTTTTTCACTTCCCACCTTTGTGGGTCCCACATGCCAGTAAAAAAAATTAAAATTAAAAAGCAAACTTACCTTCACCCGTCAAAATTAAAAAGCGAAAAAAAGACGGGTGAAGGTAAGTTTGCTTTTTAATTTTGATTTTTTTTTACTGTAACAAAAAAAAGGGGAAAATTGACTAGCATGTGGGACCCACAAAGGTGGAAAGTGAAAAAAAATTTGAAATTTGAAATTTGAAATCATTTTAATTTTTTATTTTTATTTTTAAATTATTTAATTTTTTATTATAAAATAATAATTTTTTAATATTTTATTCTATTTTATTGTAAAAACATTTGTTATTTTGATCTTATATGTGTCATTCCGAAAATACCCTTGACTTGGTAGGGTCAACGGTCATCAAGATGGAAATGGTGACGGAACAGTGAAAAGAGACAAAAAAAGTTTCAAAATGAAATGTAAAGACTCAATCTATATACACGTTGATGTAGGGGACCAAAATTTAAATTCGGACAAATGTAGGGGATCATTTAAACATTTTTATTTGATCTTATATGTGTCATTCCGAAAATACTCCTGACTTGGTAGGGTCAACGGTCATCAAGACGTAAATGGTGACGGAACCGTGAAAAGAGACAAAAAAAGTTTCCAAAAGAAATGTAAAGATTCAATCCTTATACATGTTGATGTAGGGGACCAAAATTTAAATTCGGACAAATGTAGGGAACCATTTATACAGTTTAGTCATATATATAATATATATATATATATAATATAGAGTCTCGTTGACCATTTTTACAGAACCGTCCTGTTTTATAAGATGTTCAACCAATCAAAATTGATGGTATAAGATCTACCATGTGGTGAATAACATTCTATAATATCCTAAACTAATTGAGAAAATAATCACGTTTGGCCAAAACATCAAGTTTTTTGCCAATTTGACCCAAAATATTTTTAGGAAACCAAATTCATTATCTAAATTTCAAATTTTTGCCAATTTAATCCAAATTGATGAGAACTCTGTTAGATATAACATTTCCATTGACATTCCGTTACTTTGTATAATTTTTTATTGGTAAAAAACTTTGTTGACCCAAAAGTTTTAACATTTTATCCCTAATGTTTTGTTATTCAGTAACATACGCTTATCTTACCATTTAATTATTATAATATGCCCACCACATAATTTATCTCCTATCTAATCCATTACTCCCAACCTAAGCCTCTTCATTTTCTTTCTCTTTTACTTGTTTTCCACTGCCGCACAACTACCGCCCCTTTCTTCTTCTTCTCCCCTTAAAATTACCATCACCACTTCCTAAATCTGTGAGGATTTCAAACCGTCACCACAAACATAAAAATTTGCTTCCACCAACAGTACACAATCCTCTCTCCATAACTACCCGCACTTCCGTCGCCGTCACTTTTATTCAATTCTACAAAAATTACAAGATATTTTACTTATTTTTCTTTTTTTTTCCTGCTTCTTTCTAAAAAATTGTACAAAGTAACGGAAAAAGAAAAAATAGCGGTTACACCGTTTTGACCCCATCGTCAATTTTACCCTATTGATTTTTGGTTAGCCAATTTTATCCGTTATGTTTGAAATTTTTGTCAATTTCATCTAATTGGTCAAATTTCTGTTAAACTTAACGGATCTCCGTTAGTTTTTAACAAAAATACTCCAATAGTTTCAAAATATTATAAAGATAACTCACAAAATATTTTTTGAGTTATCCGGAACCTGAACGTCGTGTTCATCTTTTTTTTGCTAAAAAAAATATAAAAATAACAAAATAATCCCTTTTCAATTGTATTCATTTTAATCTATTTCATCTTATTTCTATTTACTACTTTTCATAATCATTAAAATATACTATATGATCTTTAAAAAATAATTATTTATTTTCAACAATATTAATCATGTGCAACACACTTGAGTTGGGTTTAGAGGTAATTTTGTCTTTTTATATTTTTTTAAAAATTTTAATTTGTTTTACTTTATTTTTTTTTAACAATTTTCTTCTTGTACTATCTAACTTGTATATTGTGGCACTAGTATAATTACTATATTTAAAGAAAAAAATTTACTTTTTGTATTTCAATTTTGAGGTTTAAAAAATATATGTATTTACCTTTATCATGAAATTCAATGATTACTTATATAGTTTAGCCATCGGCAAAGTAACAATAACAATTACTAAAAACGAATACAAATTGTGTTAACCAAATTTACAACAATTCATCGTCATGGATTAAATAAATTAGCATTTTTTCCTATTTCAAATGATATCTAATTTTTATATTATTTTTTTATTATCACAAACAAAGTAATTTATTTAGTCT